TCATCAGCCCGTTTATTTATTGATTTTTTAAATCATCCAAACAGCAGACCATTATTAACACAATTATGTAAAATTATTTATTTTGAATGTACCCAATAAAATAAAAATTCATTTTAAATTAAATTATTAGGTCATCAACAAAATATACTTAAAAATTTAAAACTGTACTTATGTGCTTAGGAATATTTTAAAATACCTACACTATAAACACGCTCTGCTATTATTCTAGTCCAATTAGGTAACTACTACACATAGGTAACCTACTACATATTTCTGAGCCATTGTATTATATACTATTCCCGACCGAATAGTAAAATACTAAAATAGAGAATAATACAAACAAATGTTAAAAGTTAACAATACAGATATTGTACATCATAGATAAAAATAATATTATAAGTTATATTAAATATATAGATTATGTTCTAAATATAAAATATATGGAACAACAATATTTTTAAACAATAATAATATGGCGTTAATATTACATTTTTTATTTATTCATATAGGTAAAATAATAATTAAACACGTACAGTTATAATAAAAGATGTAGTTTTGAGTTTTATGTTTTTGATTATAGGTATTATTATTTTGTTATACTCACCTTGACAGTTATTATACATAAGAGAGGAAAGTGAACAACTTCAAAGGATACCTCGTAAATCTAGGTATATTCATTTTTTTCAAACAAATAACAGATAATATAGGTATACTTAAACGTTTTTAATCCGAATAATAAATAGATTATATAGCATTGGTAAAATTTAAAACATATAATGTGTATGTACAATTAAATATGGTTTAAATTTTATCGCAAGAATATTTTATATTTTTGAAGTTTAGTATTTTGCCGAAGTTCATCCAATTGAAGATTCTTCATTCTGTGATTAGGTAATATTTTTTTTAAATACAAATCATATCATCATATTCACTTATTATTCAATAGTTATAAACAGATTGTGTAATATGAATTTCAAATTAAAAAAAATAATTTTAAATTTAAATTAACATTCAGAAAAGCTGGTAAGTGGGCAACACTGTTGTAAATTGATGTCTTGAGAGTCACTGTAATAATGGATGTGTTAAATTTGAGTTAAATTATATATTATTATTGTACTCGAAAAACGATTCTGAGCGAAGACGGTCTGTCAGCTTATAATATTACAAAGTAGGTATATTTTATGACGTATGACTTTAATTAAGTTTATGCCTGCAATCCGGACTGCTTACATTTTAATTTTCAGCATATTTGAACATTTTCAGAAATTTCTTTAGGCTAAGATTCATCTACTAGAGTAGACCTAATTAAATAATAATATGTACATTTACAATACTATACTATGGTATTTATATTTACATAATGTGTTTAAGAAGATTAAAAATATTTTATTAGTTATTATTTAATTATGTTTGTACCTAAATAATTATTTCATATTGTATTACGAATTTAAGAATGATATATTCATCTGTATTTGAGGTTTTCGTTCCTTTTTGTTCATTTAAACAGCGGTATCGGATTCTCTGTTATTATATTGTTACAGCTGCCACAATTCAGAATTTAATCAAAGTTTATTTAATTAATTATTAATTCCGACAGTACGAATGTTTTGGTATAGTAAAAATATGACAATATTTTGCTTTTCGACTTAACCACGCCGATTATTTCTAAAAAATATATAATTTAGTAATGTCTATTTGTTACTGAAAAATAATAAAGTAGTATGTACGAGGTATCTATACATATATATATATATATTACATTTCAACTTGGCCACATGCCCCCGTACATAACGGGATTTGTCTATGACATATATTCAAATATTTGTAGTTGGTAGCAGATATGGGTTAGAGATTCTATGATGGTCAGTCACTGGCTATATGATCGAGTGGCAATAATTTACACGTACACGTCCTGTCATCTGATACAGGATCGTGGGAATTTCGATTTTGATCTTCGGGTTACTCGATCTACAGTTACTGCACGGTATGAGATGTATCTTCAAATATATAAATAGGTATTGAAGTCTATCCGAAAGAAATAAATTACAATTCTGTTTGGAGTCTTAGAAAAATCGGTGCCTATACTATGTCTAATATAATATTATTATTGTACGTATATTAATACAGTAATAGCAAAAATGTGCATACATTTTTTTCTACGGCGGACGACTAAAGTGTATGAAGTTTACCAAATGTACAATACGATACGTACACATCTTCTTCGTGGCAATTTAAAAACTGCTAATTACAAAAAACGTTTGTTAAAAAATATTCATATTTTTATACTATTATCAATCTATTTTATATTTTAATTGTTTTCATATTAATAAATTAAAATCTTATGTAATGTTGAATTAAATACCACCAAGTTCAGATGAGGACTTTATTATATTAAGCATTATGTATCACGAACTGTACAAAATAAAATGTTTGCCTAAGATAGCTTACTTATATGATTTTCGCAATGTATTTTGTACGTTATTTTTATAAAATAAATATTTGATAACATTTAATTGATTAAATTTAATGTGACTGTTTGCTAATAATTTAAATTAGGTAAATACTAAAGTATATACTGTTACATTGAGTTAATACAATAAATGGCAAAATGATGTGATAACTTCCCTATGAATCGAGGTGAAAAAGCCCGTCGCATAAAAGAGTTTGTCGTATATACAGTCCGTTTAATACCCTTATATTAAAACTAGAAATTTAATTATTTATGAAAACAAAAATACAATAGTTAAAGTCATTACTAGGTATAGATATTATTCTATAAAAAGTCTATTTAATTTAGAAAAAACAATTGTTCAATATTAAGTACTCTCTAAGCAGTGTTCAAATTCCAAGAAAGTAGGAAGTTGTATCACTAAAATGTTGTAAAAGATTAATTGTTAATCGTCAGGTAAACTGTTTAATTAAAATTTATATTCATATACTAACTGGAACGTCAATTTTTCATCACCTATTATTTTTATATAATTATAATATGTTTCGGAGTTTCTATGTTTCTTACATTTTTCCTGTTGACTTTTTTTGCTTCGGGCTTATTTTTCTATAGGAATTTTTTACTTCTGGCATTTTGGTAGTTTCCCCATCCCTATAACCACGTCATATGTATTTTTTTCATAACTCTTCATTAACTTTTATTGTTTCACATAATTTAATTTCATAAGATTGACTCGCCCATGATGCTTGATATATCAGTACACTTATGTTTATTTTAATGTTAAAAATAACTATCTATAATTTGCATAGTTAAAAATATTAATGTTGATCACAAAACTTATATAGTTTATGTTTAATATACAGAGTGTTTAAAAAGTTTTTAAACGGTAATTAGACTAATTAGGACTGCGATAAACGATATATAATATTATGATATAATTAATGAGGTGATTAAAATATTTTTTACCTAATAAATGTGTAGCGGTGTTAATTATTTCTATAAACAGTTTTCTGTATAAAAATATGCAATCAATAATTAAAGCGTTTCCGAATTTTTTGAACACCTTGTATACAATTATATATTATTATTATGTAGGTTATCGCCCATTATTTTTTATTTTAAACAAATAAATAGTTTCTAAAATAATAAAAGTTTCTTAATCCTGAAAACATGATTACAGTTATTAGTATTTTCGTTGTTTTGGGTTTTTTAAACTATTTTCCGACTGAAATTTGTCACTTTACTTATGTTAGAAAAATATTTTAACTACCTACCTTAAGAGGACGTTGCACCCGTAAATGTGACTCCGTCTTTTTCACAGGTACGGCATAACAAATGTTCGATTACCAGTTTCAATAATTTGCTGTTAGTTTTGATATTAGATTGAATTTACCTACTATACAATTTAAATTCTAAACGTTAGATTTGTATCAAAGACCCCAAGTCGGCTTTCATTAATTTTAAGGTAAGTTATGATAATTTCAAAATAAACAGTTTCAAAAAGGTCATAACTTATTTAAAAATAATAATAACAATAAAAGCCTACTCGGGGCCCTGGATAGTAATCTTACCTTTAGATTTTATAATCAGTCAATTTACTCTAATATCAAAAATAACAGCGCACTATTGAAACTGGTAAACGAAAATTTGGTGTGACATACTTGTTTAAGACTGAGACAGCACATCGGGTGCGACGTTCTTTTAAATGCTACTATACTATTTTTATTTAATAAAAACATCTATGTATTGAATCTTCATTTTCTAATGGAATTTACGTAACATTGCAAAGTAATATCTTTGGACTTCAAAATATCGACTCTACATTTAAAAACTATACAGTTTGTATATCACTGCGCAGATGTTCACTTTAATGTTAACTTTATACTATTCAAAGGTCCAACATCTTTCCCCGTAATACGTGGTCAGATAAAACAACAGTTACAACTAGGGCTTGCAAACGTTATAATAACGTCATGATTAAAACGTTATATTTGATAAAAAACGATTGAAATTTGTAAACGTAATTATAACGGAAAACGATAAACGTAAATAAATAAATAACACAAAACAAAACGTAACGTTTAACAAAATATATGATGTATCATTAAACAAAATATAACGCAAAATGGTATATATTGTATTCCATTAAACGAAATAATTAATTCCCAATTATTTAATAATACTTTGTAGTATTCAATTATTTATTCAATCCAAGAATTAATTTTATTCCGTATCCGGCCTATCCGGGAGATCCCGTATTAGATATTATTTTAAAACTTAATAAGAAGTTATTAATAGAATAATTTAATTACCAATAGCTAATAATAGTGATGCTCTAATAATATTGTACTGCACTATCTGTACTACGGTCGAAATTTATACCACTCAAGTTATTCAACTATTGTGTTCTGTGTTCAGTTTGCTCAGATTTATTCACTCGTCAGTGTTCGTCTAATTGTTGTCAAATGTTTAATATTTATATTTTATACTAATATACTTATAGTTTTAATGTGCATACGTTTTCTTTATATTAGTTTAACCCATTTAATTAAATAAATAAAATTTAACAATACCTACTTAAAACTCAGAATAGGGAAATTATGTCCCCAAAAAAAGGTCACAGTCGTATACTTTTAAATTGCGGCCTGTGTTCTTTTAAAGCAGGTATCTAAATACTTTTAAATTTTAAATAACGATAAACGCAAAAATTGTATAACGTTTTAATTATGAATAACGATAAACGCAAAAATTGTATAACGTTTTAATTCTGAATAACGATAAACACAAAAGTTGAATAACGTTTAAATTTTGAATAGCGATAAACTCAAAATTTGTATAACGTTTTGATTGTAAATAACGTAAAACAAAATTTTTTTTTCAAATGCAAGCCCTGGACTTACAACTGTAGGTAATGTCTCTACCTACATAACAGCGTGGTGCGTAATTACAAAACTATTACATAACTGCCTAGTTATAAAAATAATGTAGAAAAATGTTTAAGAAGCCATATATACATATGTATAAAAAAAAAACTGCCTCTAAATATTAAATTTCATTTAAGCTATGATTCTCATTATATCAGTTTCAATATTTGTTCTGTAGTTCTAATAATACGGATTCCTGTCATTTGTTAGACATTTCAGCCGTAAATGTTCAACGTCCGTCTTCAGAAATTTGTTCACGACTGATGTCGATAGTTCCGATATATTTTGTCACTGCAGTTCTTTTCTCTCTTGTTGGCAACACTTTTGTACCGAAGACCGAGTGTGATCTCCAACCCCAAGCATATTATAATTTACCTGGTTAACATAATATTATTATTATTGAATCAAAGTATAATATATATATATAATATAGTAAAGCAAAACGATGAATATTGAAATCGCCAATACAACAGTTTTATTGTGGGACATGTTCTACTTGGGTAATCCTCATCGACATATGTACAAGGACATCAAACACTTACCACATATATACGCACAGGTAAATTGGATCTATAAGAGTCACGAACGCAATACGATATTAGTGTTAGAAGATTAAATTGCACCCTAAATCAACTGGAAAGGCGTGCTTGTATTCGCGGTTACCAACAAAATACATGTAATTTGTGTATTCACGAATATTTTAATAATGTTTTATAATATTATCGTTTAATGAAAACCATCATTAATACCCACGATTTGTTCAGGCTTGGCCATACTTCTTGACTTTATTGGTGTTAGAAAACGGATTGCGGCTATGGCAAAGAAAAGAAATCCTTAGACTTAACGACAGCATTACCTCGATGAGCCATGCCATCTTGCAAGAGTGTGCCAAGTACGTATCAGAAAAATATATAAGACTATCATTACATTAAGTAGTACCTATTGTGTTTTATATTGTGAAATTGTTTGTCTTTTATAGATTGTTTTATAGAGGATCAGAACATTGTTTATACTTTTGGATCTATAACAACTATAAGATTTGTGAACTACCTTGGAATTCTGTAGCTTTCTGGTACTGTTCAGCTATTGCAGTTGATTTCTGTTATTATTGGATGCACAGAGCCAGTCATGGTAAACGATTTCAATTTCTATAAAGAAAAACAAAACATTTCAGTTATTACAGTTTATGTATTATAGAAATTCATATATTCTGGGCTCAACACCAGGTTCACCACAGTTCCGAGGAATTTAATGTTACTGTCGGGATAAGACAATCGGTATTTCAAAGTTTAGTGGGAATCGTACGTAAAAAATTTTAAAATAAAATACAAAAAATATGTTAATTTAATATTTGTACCACGTTATAATGTTGATAGGTGTGCTACGCTCCTTTGGCTTTATTTGTTCCACCAGTCTTGTTGTTGGTACATCAACAGTTGAGTCTCTTATACCAGATTTGGATCCACACCGAAACAATAACAACTATTGGACCGCTGGGTTATGTTTTAAACACCCCGGCATACCATAGGGTGCATCACGGTACAGGCATAATATTTTAAGTCTGGTGAAATGGTTTTCGACAAATAATATATTATTCAAAGATATTATAACATTTTTTAGGGAGCAATCTATACTGTTTGGATAAGAACTACGGAGGCGTATTAATTATATGGGACAGGATATTCGGAACGTTCCAAGACTTCTATCCGAACAAGCCCATCACGTATGGCTTAGTATACCAAAAAAATTCATTTAATCCTCTATCCTTGCAAGTAATTATCCTGTCGACGAACCAACTGTCTGTGTGTTTGTATTAAATAAACATTTGTTTTTGTATACATTGTAGTTTTTCTACAATTTAAATTTATATTATAAATGGAACAGTATGAAGGGTTGGAAGAACAAACTGAGATCGGTCATCAAGGGACCAAGTTGGGTACCAGGTCTGTCGTGGACAGGTCACGACGGAAGGCGCGCCAGTGTAATGAATTAATAATTATCTCAGGTCTAGTTCTATTTTTAAACTTTGACCATCTGATTTAGGTTGCAGGACGTAGAAAAAAATACGATGTGAAGATATCGTATGCGCTTAAGTCATATTTACTAGTTCATTTCGTTTCAGTCGTTAATGGCTACTTCACTTTGACAACAATTCCTCGTTCTGTAAGTGTATTGTAATAATAATTATTTTTAATGGGTACTTCAAATACTGTAGATATATTTGTACAGTTATTCTTAAAATGTTTTTATTGATATTATTTTTTACGGATACAATTTAACAACAATTTAGGTTAAATAATAAATAACAAATTCAAATATTGATGATTCACTCAACAAACAATTTTATTACAATTATAATCATAATGCTAACCATTTAAAATAAATTTTACATCAACAACACACACAATATAGTATATTATTTTGATTGTAATATAGTTTAAGGACATCAATTATAACAACACATCACAATAACGAAATCACATAGTATATAATATTATTGAATTTATATTTTAAAGTTACAATATAATATTAAATTATATTTTATGATAACTAAATATTATACTACATAATATATCGATAAAAACCCAGAAAGATTAAATTATTAATCTAATGAAAATTCAATTAAATGTGTTCGGTTAACAATTTACCAAAAACAACATATTAATTAATTAAGTAACATAATTTTTTTTTAATTTTTAAGATTTAAGTGAAACTATTTTAGTATATTTATATTTTACTTTACCCATACATTTGATTTTGGAAAATAAGTTGAACAATATTTCTTATTATTTTAATAATTAATACTAAAATATCTATAGTTTAAATCAGTTTACCTATTAAAATTTTGAAAAATCATTGAATTAAAATTAAATAATTGGACAAATTGCTATACTATATAATTCTTTTATATAGTATCTATATTTTACTATATGATTTTGAAACTATTCGAGTAAATTAATATAATAAAGTAGTCCTTAAAAAACAAACTGAATATGCGTGTAATATAATATTCTGTTTTAAATTTCATCTGAGTGATCTGAGAAATACATTTTTAATTTCGATCAATCCAACCTACAAGAGCTCTAGCTAGATAAAGTTGGGTTGGGTTACGTTTAGAAAATCGTTGTAATATTAATAATAATAATAATTATTATTATAATGTTTACTTTATTTACTTCAGTATTATAATATTTCATTTATTTCAGTATTTTAATATTATATTGTACTTAAACTCAAATTATCATTTCTAATAGAGGATATACCTTAATACTAAGGAAGATGGTTCTGCTAATTTATTACAATCGCGTTCATGGGCTCACGAGGTTTGATTAAACTAAGTTCTAGTTTTGACTTTTGGTTCCATAAAAACAATCGAGTAGAAATTAGTGAAATACTTAACTTTATTGTCTATTTGGTAATGGCGTATACATAATATGAATTATAAATGAATATCTTTTTTAATACTAATTCCTTATTCGTATGTAGTATATTCAACATTTTGTGAATATACAACATCTTTTGTCAATGGTACACAACGTTACAACAGTTTGCTTTATAATCGTCAGCTAATGCCCTAATATAAATAAAAAAGTTGGTATTCAAAATTCAAATACTTACATTTGAGTTTGTTTTTAATTTAAAATCTATTTAAATGTTTAACAACTCAACTTGTTTAAATTTATTTACTTGTGATATAATGGTGTAGTGTAATCGGTGGGTATACAAAAATTATTAATTGTCAAAAGCTTAAACCTTTCATATATATTTTTATGACGTATCCTAAATTCCTAACTAATTGTTAAGAGAAATTAACTTTATTTGAGGTTTATTTATACTTTTTACCGTAAGCAAAACTTATGCTGTATGGCATGTTTAATTTTTGAAGAAAAATATGTTTTTTCTTCATTGAATTATCACATAACTTAAAATAACAAAATATATGTCTCATGTAAATAACTTATTTTAAGAAATATGAAAGGCGTAGTTGTCAATTTAGTTAGGTATCATATTTTCGAAACATTGAGCTGAAAATATAACTATATCATTATTAAACAATAAAGGTACATAATAATTGGTATATCAAACAACAATTATAACAAAAAAACAAATAATGAAACTTTATTTATTTTTGTTTTGTTCTTAGGGTACTTCTTTATGTATCTCGTGAGTGTTTATACATTTATCTTAATTATTATAAACTAGCAATTCATAAAAAAAACATATATCCAATGTCCATTAACAGAAATTTCCCATATCAATTCATATTTGACTAACATTTTGTAACTCACTTTATATTTTTTATAAGTCTGGGGCCACAGTATTCGGTATGAGAAGACCAAGACTAATAAAATTTGTCTGAAATGACAACAATTCTATTGTTTTGTATTGTTAATTTGTTAATTCTGAACACAATATAATGTAAACCATTGAAGCCGTTTGAGATAATTAATTGTATTATTTGTACGTGAATTGAAACTATATAGGTAGCAGTTGTTAAAATATTATATGTTTAATTTCATTTTCAAAATATATAAAAATGTAATTATATATAAAATACCAAAAACATTACTTAGAAAAAAAAACCGGAATTATTATCATAAAAAATGTCATGCATTATTTTTGAATAATACAAAAACCAAAACTTGAGTCAATAATTCGGCGTCATCAGACTATTTTTGAAATATTTATTTGAAATTAAAAAAAAAATCTGTAAAAAATATAATTTAATAACATTTGGAAATTACCATAATAATAATTATAATAAATTCAGAAAAAAAAACGTATGACAAGGGCATAGCAATATACTTATGTATTAAATAACCACCTACAGTACGAGGTTTAAAATTTAAAAATCTTTAGTACCTATAAAAGTTAAATAAATATAAATGTACTAATAATACCTATGTATAAGGATATAAAATGACATAAGCAAACAAGCTCTCATTGTTCACATTTTAGTTCTTCAGTTATAATTAGAGTAATATTAATGACTATCTGCAAGTATTAAAGTGGACATATCATTATGATTAGTATTTAAAAAAAATAATTATACCAATAGATCAAACCGATATAGTGGGCCTTTAAACATTTAAAAATGTTCTATGGTTTCTATTAGTATATTATTATGAAATGTCATAGTCATTTTTAGGGCTGTGCTGTGAATTTAATGCACTCAATAATATAGGTCAGTACGCGTTATAATCATGCCCTAAGAATTTCAATACAATATGTGAAATTATGCATAGTTTTAAACGTCTTGATAAAATAAAAAATAAATTAAAATCGGTTTATTGTCAGCGATGGGAGGTTTCTTTCATCTATACCTGTTCATGCACAGTTTCACTCAGCGTACCTATCATATTAACTTTTTACTTTTACTCATTACTTTTGTATCTGCTGGCTATGGATTGTTTATACAAATAAAAACAAATACCTGATAACAATTTACAATTATGTACCTATAATGCTTGAACAGTATTAGTATTGAAAGGTACATAGAAGATATACGATAAATGTTAACATTGTACCCAAAAAAAACATGTATCTTGAAAAAGACATTTTTGGACAATTTTCATAATATTATATACAACAATATTGTATTTATAGAGTGATAATATAATGTCTTGAACCAGATTTGTATCTCGCACTATCGATATGAAAAGTCACCATTAACCCACACAGCCCTGGCCATGAGTGGCAAACGTAGTGTTAATACATTATTATAAGTATAGTTGTTGGTTATTGGTATTCGGTAAACGGTAATGAATAACGAATAACGGTTTAACGTTTGTTAATATTTGTTCTAGGAAATTAATATTACGTGCATGGCAATTTCTACGTTTTATGTTGTCTGGTCATTGACGAGCATAGGCTTGATGTTCGAGAAGTCCTCGTGGTCAAAATGCTTTGAATTCTCAAGATGCTTAACCATGTTCGTTCATCTAATATATTTGGAACCACAACCATTTTTGAGTGAATTAACTGTCATCGTATATCAATCGTTAATGGGCACTTCGGTTGTTGTTTGGGCCATAACATGTTTGATGCGTTAACTTCTCCTAACTTCACCTAAAAAAATCTATTGTACCTTTGTTTGTGTCGTAAAAATCTTCACTATTAAGTCACCAACTAGTCGTCAGTCAAAAATAATGCGCACGTCAATAGAATAATAACATTTGGAGAACGTTTTATTACAACTTTAGAGTCGTCCGTTTTACGTTTTGTGGTTAATAATATGCGAACAAACGAAAACTTATTTTACTTGTAGAAAAATGATGAATTATTTGACGACTTAATTAAAAAAAACCAAATTTCATAAATAATGTAGATTATGACTAAACCATTAAGTTCAAAAAAACGCCTTAAGTTAAAAATTAAAATCTTATAAATACATTTAGGTTACAACAACGGTTCAACATTTAAATATACATATATATATAATCATAGTTTTTTTGGTTTACCTACAGTAACAACATAACTATCAATTATTATTATACAAATATTATCATAATAGTTCAAAAACAATCATAAATAATCATTAACAGGTTATATCCTCTAGATGTCATAATATTTTATGTATGTTAAACATTCAGAGTACAAAAATTCAGAAATCAGTGATTGCCATTTATTATTATTTAGAAATTAATTTTTGGACGATGATTTCTTTTACGCAACAATATTTACAACCGTATAACATATTAACGTTTTAACATAGTATAAGCCTTACATTATTATACCACAGTAATTAGTATAGGTACCTTAATAAAGTTTTGTTAAATATATTTATTATTTTATAAAATGGTCTTAGTAAAAATTTTAGTTTATTGAACTATTGAAGCTGTTACCTATACGTGTATTCAGTGTTATTGTCCATTGGTCCAAATTCTTCTCGATCTAGTGAATTCATTAACTCTTCGTTTTTATTTCGAACTGAAATCACAGTACATGTATTAGCTTACAACCAGACGTGAGTAATATTGCTAAATATTTATTATGTTGATGTTATACAGGTATACAGTTCAAATAATTAAATCATTTTGATTTCATAACACTATTTATCTTAGAATAGCAATAGAAATTTCAATACGCCAACTCAAAATTGTAAAATATTTGTAAATATTACGTGATGTTTAGTTATAGTGTGATACTTAATAAAAAAAAAAAATATATAAAGCAGGGTATTATGTTAATTTTAAAGTGTATACAAAAATAAGTGATTGTTAAAAAAAAATATCACATCGTAAACCGCAAGATATACGATAAATAATGACTCTTCTAGTGTTAACTGTTGAAAAAAAATCACTCTAATGTATGAGAGGCTGTATATTCTGGCGGGGGACTCATAAATTGCTGCTCATATAGCAAAACATTTGCAGGCAAGGGGGGGGGGACTAAAAAAAGACCTTCCTCAACATTTTTTTTCTGCAGCGAACGACTCTGATGTTAGTTAGATCATATCCGTACCTTTACCTATATACACAGATAAATTGTATTATTCGCATGATGCGTGCGCCTCTGCATTTGCCAACAGTGTTTTTATCTTGGTTTTTGTAACATTGCCCACTGTAGCGGTCATCATAAATACAATTACTGAACAATACACATGTGATTACAAATTGTAATACACAATGTATTAATGTTTATTATTAATATGTAGTTACTTTAATTTTTAAATTGTGTAATAATTATATCACGAAATATCATAAATTATCATAAGTTGTTAATATTATAATTTATTAAGAAGCTGTACAATAATAATATATTAATATATTTTAATATTATATTGAAGACATACACAGTCGCGCATATACTGACTTCACTATCAAACAAAATACTCCTCTATAATCGTCATTTTCTGTTGTTACACATGATCGCGTTTATTATTTATTTTGTTATATGTGCATCGCTTTTCTCGTCCACCTTATTTTTTAAATCAGCGTTTCTCGACCTGCGGTAAGCGTAATACTGGTGATAAGTGGAAAGCTAATATTTGGTATGAGAAGGAAGTATCGCTTTATAAAAAAAATTCGAAATTATTATTTAACTACAAACCTCGGCGTTGTCCAGGCAAGCTTTCCTGTTTCTAATATCCCATTGTATCGATATATATATGTGCACAAAATTCGTTTCCATAATTGAAAAAAATCGCTGCCTCATTAAGTATTTAAACTTTAAACCATAAAATAATTGTACCTATACATAATATGTGTTTCATTTTACTCTTGTACATTAAAAGCTTATATTTTCATAATTATTATGTAATTCTTACAATAAAAGGCTATGCGTGTAAAAGAACGTTTACGTTTTTTAATAGGTAGAAAAATAAAGATTATTAGACCAGCGAGTGGTGGGTACGCAAACATTTTCAAAAAAGTTTAGGCGCGACTTGAATATACATAAAGGCTGAGAACTGCTGCTATAAATCATTACTCCTGCACAATGGTCTTATCTGAGAACTGCAGCAGAAGATACGGGCGGCGTGGCACGTAAGCATTATAGTGTATTGTTATGATTATTATGATACTAAATTATTACGGGCCGAAGATGGACGAAAAACATCACTTTTCGAGAAGAATAAACTATACTCGTTTTCTTTATTAATTCTTTACACATATAGGCAGAGGTCGAAGTGGCTCGAAATAAGTGAAGGGATGCTTCTCACAGTTTATACAGTTCTCATATATCGCTTAGAAAGTTGTATAAAATAAGTGGGGGGAATGGAAAATGTGAACTATAAAAGTGGAGGGATGCCACTCCACCTTATCTCCCTCCCCCCATACTTCAAGAGCTGCATATAGGTATCAGGATACGAGATAATATTATTATTTTACTAACGCTAAATATTATATGATTTACGTACACACCTATAGTATTATATGACAAACGCGCCATGATGTCGCTCTCGGCGTTGAGAGTAATAAAGAGAATACAAAATCATTATACCGTATATTAATACACACATATCTATATATATATATATATATATTTACACGTATTCCAATAGGGAAGTGCCCGAAAAAGTTCACGAGAAACAGCTGTTGCAAAGTTTATCATTATTATAAAGCTGCGGAGTGAGCAAGTATAAAATGTGTGCACAAAGTGTGACGGTAAAAACGAGTTATCGTAAATATATATATATGAGTATAATATATGTCTATACGTGTACGTAATACGTTCATATGCGAACCCGACGGCTGTGAAATAATTTAACTTATCCGACTCTATGAAAATTGACCGACAAAGAGTACGTGGTGACGGACGGACGTTTCAGCAGACACCTCGAGCACGTATGACTTGTGTGTCCCTTTACCTTAATAATAATGTCGTCATCGTCACGGCCAGTCCATAAAAAAATAATATCATAACCGTGAGCACTATAATATAATACATGTACAATTTATATGTATAATAATATTTACAGTTATAGCGTAAAAAGAATAAATTAAAAGAAATGTGGCGACTTCAACTTACAGTAATTAAGTGTTTTAAGACATATGGTTTTGGACTAAATAGTGACACTTGTTCAAAAAATTACCTTCAGATTAAAATTCATAAATAAAATCTTATTATGCACGATCGACAAAATAGCCAATATTTAACACGGCAAAAAAAAACATGACAAATTATCGATAATTCATAACAAAAACAAGGTATTTTACCATTTTCTTCAGAATGAAAAATGAAAAGCTATGGATTTTCACCTACATAAATCGAGCTTGAACTCACTCATTGCATATTATATAATAGATTCTACCTATTAACGCACAACTTGTTTGATTATCATTTCAGTAAACTAAGCAAATTGTGCCTATAATTATTATCATTTCGGATTGATTTTTACTTTTTTTATATGTTTTATCTTATGTTTATATTACCGGCAATACTCATAATATTTCTATAGTTATATAATTGTACGACAAAATTACCCACCGAGTTCGTCAATTACAGGTGCCATCCTTAGTGTTACGCCCACCAACAGCATACAAGTGATGAGCAATAGTCCGGCGGTGATGATAATTGTCCATCTCGCTCTTTGAGGTAAGTCATCTGGATGTATAGTAGGCACGGGATGAGGTCTCATTACATTATGTTTATCTTCTCCGAATCTTGTTCTTCGGGTTTTCTTTTTCAACCGAGTCTTTGGATTTTGAGCCTCTACATAATGCCGATTTTCTTCCGACATGCCAGCAGTAGATCTATATTAATGTGTAAATATTTATTTTATTCTTGGGTATTTAATTAAATTTTAAAATACGTAATAGAGAACACCATTAAAACATTTTTAATTCCAACGGATTGATTACTTTTGGATCCGCCTTTAATCAGTTATTAATCGATTGTCAATTGCAAAATTGCAAAAAAAAAATAATCATTAACTATGTAACTAACATTTATAACTGTTGGTAACATTTCACCATTTTTTTTTTTTTAATTTTACCATTTACTAAATATTATTTATCAATGCATGACATTTTCGCTTATAAGTGTTGAGTATTTAATACATTTCAAAATGTATAAAAGTGTTAATAGCTACAATATTATGTGTTATTTAATCACAAAATATGCTTAATATTATAGGGCTGATGCCAAGATGACTTTTTTAAACGTGATATGCAATCAAGAAGTATCTACCTATATAGCGTATAGAGTGGGTTTTAATTGCAAATGTTAGATGTAGTATTTTGAGAAAAAATAGAAAATAAGAGTCAATTCAGCACCTGCTACGTAGAAAAAGTAAACTCATACAATATGCTGAGTGAGTGTGATTCTTTTAACACGTGTAAATGTGGATTACAATTCAGTATTTATTTACAATCACCTACTTTTTAATTTCTATTACCTATGGTCGAGTCGTCACCGAGTCGTATTTAGCTCCAGGCGGTAGCGCCGACCACGGGTCATTATGATAGACGACCCGCACCGACGGCACCGACCCACGTACTGAATTAATGTCCCCGGGGACGGTCGAGTACAACTACCGAACGCCGACAGCGTGACTACACACCGAAAATAGTCATACCTCACAAGCATACATAAGGTCACTTGCAAGTCCTGGTGCTGGGTTACACGGGTGGGTGACCGCTCTCCCTTGCTACTTTTCACGAGACGTCTCCGTCAAAGATTGGACGTGATTCGTGGAGTCGTGCTAATCCACCCCTGCAAACTTAGGGGGTGTGAAATACCGGCTCTCCGTAGTGTCTAACGAGTCTCTACGAGGTCCCGGGGATACGGTTTTCACACGTCGCTGACACTGGAACGCAAGACGGATATTACCACCTCACGATTTATATGGACCGAGTTCAAAGGTTTTATTTTAATTAACGATAGGTACTGTAGATATATTCCTCAAACGCAAAAATACTCATCCTTCCATTTTGTTTTTGAGGCACCTACAGTCACGGTTATAGTAATTGCAGTGTAAACACGATGGGACCTATTGCTGGCTGGTGAACATCCCTTCACGAATGATGCACAATCACGTTTGGCAGTGTCAAGAGTTTAAACTTTGAAATTGGGGAGGGATCATCGCGTATTGAAATGGATCTACCGAGCTATCAAACTACCAAATAAGGGTGTATACCTTAGTCTACAATAGAGTATATAATAATCGTGAAGTAAAAAGGGCAAAATAGCAAAATGATAAAAATGGTGAAATTCAAAGCAAATACCATTTAGGGCGGATTAATGAAAAATAAGAGATACATTGCTGTGATAATGATGTGCACTTCAATTTCTTATAGGTAAGTAATAGTTTATTGGGAATATTGACTTATATTCTTATAGACAGGTATAAATAATAATGAAAGTATAATGAGTGATAGGTCCGCATCATAATAATATTATGTACAATAGTCGGCAGAATACAATGGATAGGTAGTAATTACTACTAATTAAGTACTAACAAAAACAAAAGTAAGGTTAAAAAGGACTAGTGCAAGTGCGTTATTTGGTCTGTGTGAGAACTGAGAGGGTGACTGTGATGGGACCTATTCGGGAGTACGGGCTCTTCAGAGTAATTAGAGGTTTGTCTTTTGGTTCCTTCGACTTTTTTTCTCATCTTTAAATTTAAAAAAGTAAATATTTTTGAAATAAGTATACAAACAATTATTAGATAGGTACATGATGTGAATAATTTAATAAAAGAAGATATCCATGAACCTGGCACGACCATATTATACTAGTTAATGCGTACTAAAACCCATTGCAAAAGTTAACCAATTATAAAAGCCTTATTGCAAATAATAACAAATGCGTTTTTTGAGTAAACACATTACTCCATTATAGTTAAAATGTTGCTGTTTAATTTTTAGAAACATAATTAAAAACATTAATTATATTCAGTAGGTAGTTTGATCATAATGATAATATAAGTTTATATTTTTTGATCCACATCATACATTTTTAACTCATTCTAAAACAGAATATTTTGATAACTTTGATGTGTAAAAATCGAATTTGTTATTTAGTTATAACATTTATGTAAGTACTTATAATTTATAAGTATTTAAAGTTTAGAAGAGCACAATAGTAAATATTGCGTACTTATTTTGTTACTCCTCCGTTCATTTAAACTTTAAATACTTAAACTCGTCTGAGATTCAATTTGTGTACATCAAAATGGATTCTTAGAAAAATATTTTGGTACTCAAATAGAAATAATAAAAAACATATTTTTTCTCTTCAAATTTATTATTTCATAATGACTTCAAATTATGTAAAAAAATATATTTCTTACTCAAAAAGTTGATAATTTTCGAGATAATGAGTGTTTACAGACTGTTTAAATAATCACTTTGTATATAACTATTACCCCTACATAATATAACTTATTAAACTTTTGTAACTTTTTCTAATTAATTTGGGTGTTTCTTTAGAAAACTAAATTATATTAATCTTATAAGCAACGGAATTTTTAATTGCGTAAAAGTAATATTCGTTTAGTTTATTAAGCAAGCTTAAATAATATTATAAAAGTCTTTATTCGAGTTGTTTTGCGATTTATCACATATTAAAATTTGAATATTACACTGAATATGTGTATATTGTATAGCACCTTAACACCTTAAGATAATGAACATGTTATCATATTATATTTTATGATTTCATGATTTGAAAATTTGAATTATATCAATAGTAATGCAACTATATAATACTATCATTAGTTCTACGATCACTATCGTAATTTTTTCATTCCATAAATCCCATTTAATTTATTTAAAAAAAATTATTATTTTTCTTAAAATCATTATTTAGTTTCCCGAAGTTGCTACTCGTAGTTTATATAAAATCATACCTTTGCAATGCGGCGGTTAGGATGTGTCCACCTAAATAAGGTACAGCAGGTCTTTGAGTCTGAGGCCATTCTTCAACTTGGACAGGTTCTTCTTGTCGAACGATCCCATCACAATGATGGTGATGGTGGTGAAACAATTGGTGATCTAGATCATGCCGATGCTGATGGTGATGGTGGTGGTTGTGGTGATGGTGTTTTTGACATGAATGCATGCAGCGACCCTTCCGGCGTCTGTTTTTTTTTCATGAAAATTTAAACAAAAAAATTGTTAATCCATTTTAGACCTGTCGAAACTTCATTTGTTTTTGTTTATCGTTTCAATTAAGTTAGTATACATAATAGTATATCATAAAATCAAATGGTAGGTACTATACTAGGGTCCTGGGGTAGTAAAGATGACGACTATTCCATATAGTTTTTGAGTATTAACATAACAAAATAGTAGCAAATAAAAACATTTTGCCATTAAGAAGGTCACTGTAATGGATGTGTTAAACTTAAATTTGAGTTCAATGATAAATTATTTCATAAGAAAAACGATGTGGTGTGTAAACAGCGTACTAGACATAATAATTAGTAATTACTAAATTTATTGTATTGTTATTGACTAAGTTAATACTGACATACAGTAGTATAGTTCGGTATTAATATTTAAACAATCTTCGTTATGGGTAGAAAATAATAAAATAGTATATACTCAAAAGTTTGAAATTCTTTGGATTAATATTTTTTTGAACTACAATGAAATATCAAAAATATTAAATCTTTATTTTTCATTTAAATAATTTAATTTGATCAACATTTTAATTCAATTTCCTAATAACAACTTAATACATTTTCAAATTTTCATGATTATCAGATTATGTCAAAGTTTTGAAATGCCAATCTATTAAAAAAATGACCTTATGACGTATATTCGATATTTTGTTATTTTTGTTTTAATTCTGGTGAAAAATGTTTATCAACATTTACAGAAAAAAAACTAATGAGCCGAAATTTTCAAATGTTTATAAAAAGAAACCAAAATATTAAAAAAATCATACATGTCTAAAAAATGTGGAAAATATATTATATTATATGATTATGTTTTTTGAAGAATTTAAAGCACCTATTTATGTTTATTTTTTTTAATTACAAAAAAAAAATTCGATAACTAATTTTGAGTGAATAATCCGTAATTGTATTTTTAATTTGTCCTGATTATATTATACTTTTGACCCTCTTAAGTAAAAATACTAGTTCCTATGTTAAGCCAGAAACCACTTTAAATATTGAAATTATAAGAATTCTTATAACTGATAAATCTCTGAAAAATGACCTAAGGCAACAAGTACTCAGACACATATGAAAAAATAACCACACAAATCATTTTTTAACACTAATACATTCATCGTTCCACTGAGAAAATCTAAAAGTACCAAAGCTCAGTGATCATAGTAAGATTGAACAACTCTTAAGGTTGCTTTAAAAGTGAGTTTCAAAACAAACAATTGATTCTTAACGGTTTATGTAAATGGCAATGTGCTTCAAATATTAACAAAGTGGAAGTAACAATGTTAAAGTTTAAAGAGCTTTAAATATTATTTTTTTAATAAACTTAAAATTATAACCAACAAACTCATATAGGTACTCGTTATATTATACGGGTATGAATTTTGTATATTAAAATTCATATAATATTAATTAAAAAGCTACTAGTATATATTTATTTACTTATTTAATATAATAATAAACGGGACGTAATACACAAACACATACATAAAGGGACATTATTATTATTTTAGAAGTTTAATGTTAATTCATTACAAACTTCAACCATTATTATCGTGTTTGATAAACATAACGATTTTGACTACAAGATAAAGTAAACAAAATTTTATAATATTTATTATTTTTGACATTTAGTTTTGTATACAAATGTATTTGTACGAGAATTCGGTATACATTTCAAAGAAAAAATATATGGTTTATATTACATTTTTATTTTGAAAAAATAATTAGATGAAATGGAATCTTTTATCTCATTTAACATTAAAACATTATGATATTGACCTATATTGCAATATAACTCATTGTTGGTTAAAATAAAAATTGTTATTTATACATTTAATATATTTTATCTAATAAAAAATGTCTTGCCCGATAATTGTATTTGTTTCCAGTAGAATTATATTTCTATAATCGGTTATTTTTATCGCAAAATAAATACATACGTATATTTTATTTATTTATTATTTTTTTATGTCAAAATAAATTAAAAAATAAATTACGTGGATTTTTTCATTCAGCGTAAAATATTCTAAAAGAGATACGCCGTTGTATTTTACAGTTCAACTGATAGATAAATAGTTTTAATTAATACATCAGAGGTTTCAGTACTAAGCATAAGAATAAAAATAAAAATGTATTGATTTTCTTGAGTGGAAAAACAAAGTGAAACGTTTTTTTTTTCTGGCGGATGATTTTTTTTAATAGGTGCTAGAAGCCCACACATAGTGCAATACAAATGTGACATTTGTTTCACGTACGGAATGAACAAAAATGAAACAAATAATTTCACAGTAACTTATTAAATAGGTCAAATAAAACTAAATTGTTAATATTAGTTCATAAGATTGTCTGGGGTTTGCCGTGAACTGCAATTGTCTGAGTTTTAGTAAATTTGTATTTATTTAGGTAATGATCTGTGAACTTTAAATTATTATTTATTTTGGTTAATGACTTAAATCGTGAATAATTTAAAAATTATTTTTGATTGTGGTATTAATATTTTATAATATTTAAATACATCAATATATAATCATAGTAAAAATTTCAATGCCTCAAAAGTTCAACGAAAAGCAACGAATTATTATTACTTGCTCCAATGTATATTGATTTTATTTTACTAAACGGTATATCAATCGGAATGATTCTAAATCTGTAACATTCGACTTTCAAGAAACAAATAATTTTTAAAAACCAATGATAACGTCTGTAAACTTTCCAATGTCGACTGCTAACAACCCTCTTTCTCCCCAGGGAGTACCTACATAAACATTTACCCGAGTTTGCGTTTGTTTTTCGAGTTTTTCTCTGCCAATCTTTGCACCAATAACTTTGGCTGTATCCTCCATTTGAGTTTGGCCTCGCAAATATCCGCCTTGATGGATATGACTTTACGGTTGACTAGTGCCGCCAGGATGTGATGCACCCGGTAGTCTTCGTGGTCTAGCTAATAAAGTAAGGAATCGATTACAAAACAACAAACTAAAACGATATAATATCGAAACATTTATGTGAAGGAAAAAAAATAATAACGTTCCGTCGAATACTTTGCTAGAACAATTAATTGTTTCACAATAATATATTATGACACTCACGTCGTCCAATTGCTCCGGGTCTGTGGAAACTGCCTTCTCCTGTACCCGAATACTCGTACTCATTACTTAAGATTTCGATTAATAACAACCACCGACAGTCACATTGTAACCTGTTGCCATACGAAATAACTCAATTAATAACACGTATGTGGCTATTCTCAAAAATAGTGAAATGTTAAAATACTAAAATTGAAAACACAATGTACACACGCCCGTATTTAGAGGTGGGCAGGATGGGTCATTGCACAGTGGGGGTAGAACTCGTTAAGTGATACATTCGTATGATTTTTTTAAAATTTATTAACTAAAGCCAACACGGTTATAACTTTAAAATAATTATGTAAGACACAACATAATAATAATAAATATGTTTATTTTACTATTTCGAAATACCTGTATTCGATAATTGTTTTGGAAAAAACAAATTGACGAATAAAATGATTCAAATACTGGGTTAGTTATTTAAACCGCGTTATTTATTATATTTTATTTTACGATGTTTAATTGTTAATGAAAATATATATTATTAAATACGTTTAAAGAAGCGGCACCACACAGGTGTATACCACGACGTTGTGTGAAGTCTTAAAACAGAAAATCGCAAACTTCGGAAGGATATAAATTTTAAAATAATGATTTCTGCAAAATTGTTTTTTGCACCACCGTTCTTAATTCCTTGAAATATAATCTTTAAAAAAAAAATCAGAAAAACGGGAGGTGAATAAAATGAATTTGTTCTTTTATTTAAAATAGAAGTAAAGTTTCATAATTTTATAAAGGCATAAAGAGGGGCGGAAATTTATAAGTGTCCTGGAGTGCAAATACTACCTAAATACTGCCTTACATACATAACTCTATTGATTATAAATAGTACTATAGTATTAGTTATTAATCATTATAATTTATAATGCATGTATGGGTAGACAAGTAAAGTAAAATTTCATTCTTATTCATTCTAAACAAATCCTTTAAGCTAATCCTAAAAATTACAAGTAGACACTATTTTGTTAAACGAAGGATGCGATGTGAACACTGAATTAAGATTATATTTTCAACAATATTTTGTTTTATCTTAATTTCATACTTTTTCAATAGTACATTTTATAGATTCTGGACTATATATTGGCACCCGAGTAGGTCCTAATTGCAACTGCGTCCCCGAAAATATTACAGTCAAATACTTCGTAAATTGAGTATTTTTGAAACATACGTAAATTGCGTCCCAAGACATTTAAGAAAAATATGTTAAGTGATATATATATATTATTAGTTTGAAAAGTTAAAGAACAAAAAGTAGACAAATAAAGGGAAAAGATACATAAATGGTATACAAGAAAAAATGAAAGAGTTGCACTTGTATTATAATTTATAACACAATTAAGATGATATCACAACTCACAAGTATTTTTCATCACAAGTATATTGTTGTCACTCGTGGAATATAAATTATTTTCTATTTCTTTTTGAACTTTTAAATAATACATACTTACAATTCTACATTTTTTCATAATAAATTGGTACTGGTAACTCTTAGAATATGAAGAATTTTCGATTTTTTTTCAAACTTTTAAATAATACATATTATACTTCTACTATTCTACATTTATTCATAATTTAAATATTGTTATGTCTTTCCGGCTTCCGAATCTTGAATTCCCAAGTAAGTTTTAAGCCATGCCTGTTGCTACACTATCTCGTACTATATTTTTTTGATTTTAAATTATAAACTTGTTCATAGATGAGGCTTTTAGTGTAAAATATGGTAATACGTTAAGTTGACTTGAGCTTGTTATTGTACAATTAATTTTTATGATAGCAGTTATAACATTCATCAAATTCGATTTCAATCACTCAGTTATACAAAAATACATTGTAATAAGTTATAGAGTACACAGTACACACTGTACACGTGTATTACTGTTTAATTATTCATCTCAATTAACAGAATATTATGACTCATATAGATTATAATTTATAATCATATTAGTATAGTACTTAATAATTTTATTTTATTTAACTTTAAACCTGTTTAAAATTCTCTTGATTGTAAAAGTATTTGATGATAAGTATGATTAATTACATATTTAGTTACCTAAGTATATAATATTAATTATGCACAATACATTTTTTTATCGATATAATATCACAATATATTATAGAAGTAATAGGCGAAAATAGCAATTTTAACATGTAAATAATTTATTTTGTTGTTGTTGTTGTAGTTCAATGGTTAATAGCTTCTAGTAATTAAATAAGGGCAATCAATAAAAATATCAATGTTGCTTTCAGTACCTAGCATTTAGCTATTATCACATTGCAGAATACATTAATTTGTGTATCCACAGCATTATAACTGATAAGTAGGTTAATCATTAAATACAGTTTTAATATTTTATTGTTTTAACTTTGATTTTAGATTAATCACATATCATACAAGTATAAATGTATTTCATCGTTTTAATGTCTGATCATGTACCTAGCTATCAACATTATTATGTCTCTTTTCTGAGTTTTACAAAGTCATAATATTATTATCACTTTATAAGTAGGTAATATAAGTAGTGAACTTGGAAGACAATAGACCTAATTATATAGTAATAGATTGGTAATCATAATACCGAGTCACAGTAAAATAATAAACGGGTTATTACAATATCGGAGAAATACGATATATTTATATATTTATAGTTGAACACCTGCAATGGGCTTAAAATGTATTGGCAGTATGAATTTTTTAAGGACGTTTAAAATAATATGTAGGTAAAACATTCATTCATACCGTTGGCACACTAAAGTCAACATGCGGTAATCAGACGTTATAAATCAATTATTATAGGAACACGCAGTAATATATGTCTGACCCTACATGGCAATATGCGTGTATAAATAATAAAAAAAACACAAACAACACTGTTGTGTACTCAACTACTGTAAACGTTTTCTGTTTCAGCTATATTTTGACGTTGAAAATAAAAAAAATGTCATCGATCTATAATAATATTCCTTATTCTTGTTAAAAAGTCAACAGCTAGGATTACTTAGGTACCCACCTATACTATTTATACAAAATATGATAAAGAACAAAAATTTGCTCGTAAATGGGAATAGTTATATAGGACCCTAACGAGTTGCATTCATAGAGGTTTTTTTTTGTCAGCTTATCACAATATTCGAACTATTCGTTCGTAAGTTCACCAGGTTGACTTTTTACTCTCAAGAAATATCATTTTTTATCCAAACAATCTGAATACATTAACTATAAAGTATAAACCATTATGTGTTATCAGAATTATAATATTATGTAGCCCGAATATGCGGGTTGTGGCCTTGGGTTTTGTACCGTATATTAGACATATATAGCTCAGGACGAATCTCGAAATTTTAATCCCAACGTAAATTAACACAAGCCAAACAGAAACCGTACAAAATCCAAATAGGTAGTATGATGGGGTAATTGCATTAGATAATTAAATATTCATATTCCATGCATGTTGAATTAAGGATTTTTGAAAAGCCGGACACGCGGCATATAGACACACAGAGATCGGAAGCAGGGCTTTCGTTTTGCTTTGACGCAGGTCGCAGGATATAAATAGGCAGTGGTTTGTCGATATTATCATATTATTACTATTGTAAAAATAATTCTAAGCAGGATTGGTTCCCGAATCGAAAGTCCTGAATGAACTTTTTCCTGAATGGTATTTTGCCCGAAAGACGGAAAACCCCAAACCTTTATTTCTGAACGCCTTTCCCCCAACGGTTATTGTTCCCGAAATAAAAAATTTAAAAAATTTAAAAATGTAATTATTGTGAGGAGCTACAGTGGCGTATTTTCTATACAACATATTTACAGCTACTTCGATACATCCTATTCCATCAATAATTATTTTTTCCGTGCGATAAAGATAGTATTTACCAGAAACTACGAGTATTTTGTTTTTATCGCATTTTACCGTTATTACAACGACATGTACTGATTTGTGTCTCATACCGATATCACAGCGGGCTTGTGATATTATAATTATTTTTATTTTTTATATGAATTGTTTTGTATTATCCTTATAAATAAAAGCCTCGACAGCATAGGTAATTGCCGCTTTATATCTACTACTATAGTTTATTGATTTTAAAATATTTAATTATAACACTATACAGTATTTATTATGTTATTATTATTTTTATTTTTACATGTATTTTAATTTATGGATTTTAATGTTGTTCTGGTAAAAGGTGTTCGGGAAAAAAGGTTTCGGGTTTACCGATTTTCGGAAAAAATACCATTCGAGAAAAAGTTCATTCGGGAAAAGTACTGGTTACCGTTTGGATTACTTAATACTTAAAACTTAACTAAAACAAACATATTATTTCCAGGAAAAGTATGCTTAAACAAATTATATGTAATTATTGCAAAAAAAGTGACAGATAATATTTGAGTCGAGTATCAAAAAATTAGTTTATTCCATAGGTAGGTAATATTCTTTCGATAATAAAATATTATAACAAATTTAAAATAATTGTTACCTATTAATAATTCATCAATTTATGTTTCTTTTTCTTAAATTTATAGTTTTATATCCTACAATTTACAAGACCATTAAAATCGTACGTCAAACTAAAATGGGACTTCAACCATCGGATTCGTAAAAATAAATGGTTTTTCCGTCATTATTGATCTGAAAAGTAATCATACTGTATACCAGATGCCAATCATCTAATGAGATGATGAATTATTGCAATAATATTTGACCGAAACGGCGGGTTGAAAACTGCGTGAAAGGAGGAAAAAATTTTCTAACTGATTTTACTCCATTTTCACGCTGCATTAGATATTGTTGATTTAATCAATTCAGTATAGAGATATCTATTGGACCGTTTATAGAAACTGAACCGAAGAATAATTAATTTCTGTAAATTATGTAAATATTAACTCATTTCAAATTCTAATATTAATAATTGCATACATTTTTAATACATCTGAAATATGAAGACTTAAGGTAGTAAATGGTAATTATTAAATATTGGATGTATTGTGCGATTAAAATAATATGTTAACAATGCACCTTTGTGCAGGAACCAACTACTAGATGGTGGGTAGACTACGAGATGGTTTATAGGAAGAAATATTGTTAACAATTTGTTAATTGTTATGGTAGGTAAAATGACAGAGGACATTGAATTGGAGAAACACCAGGAGCACAATAAATTAAGCGTAACATTATCAAATGTAAATTTTACAGTATATAGGCCACAAGTCATTCTCAAGACAAAATATGATAATAGAAGATTGAAAATACCGAAAGATGAAATTTCCCGTTGACAGAAAAAAAATCAATTGAAGGATCGTGTATACAAAAGAAAAATTAACAATTTACAATCCGTCATGAGGTTAAGTATGAAGAATTACTTCAATATTCATACGTACAATTTAATCCTCATCTTTACATTGTGTTTAGTGTTTATTTATAAACATGGTCTATTAATAAATACCCTACTTATTAAACTTGTACATTTCAAATCAATTTAACACCGAAGGAATTATTACGAGTAACCCAAGTGAAAATACTGTCCGTTATTATAAAGCCTTGATAATATTATACCTAATACATAATATTATCCACATTGAATTCTAGTTTCTCCAATAATAATAATATTTTTATAGATAATATTCTGACATTCTGTTATTTATGTAGATGGAATCTATACACCGATCTCACAATGATGTTTTTTTTATCAACCTCTCTTGAGATTAATGCATAATGTGCCTACTATTGTGCCTGCTTCTGTTTGTCAAGATGGATTGAAAATTTTACACCAATAGTGTATTTTTGGATTTTTATAGCAAAGCTCCGCGATATTTTATCAAAATACTGTAGCCACTATTATATACTCGAAGGTTCAACACCTAATTTTAATTTCCATGTTGGGACGGAAAATACTCGTGGATAAAAAATGATTTGAAAAGCTATTCAAGTTATATTGATTAGAAAAAATTAATTAGTTGTACAAACAATGATAATATTTCAATATTTATTATTTAATACCATTGATTTATAGTTGTGATTAAAATCTGCAGTTTTACTATTTTATGGCAGGTATGATAATTATTATCTTAAAATTAAGTCATAACAATAGTATCTATAAAAGATTATTTTATCTCGAAGAATAAGAATTGCTTACAAACATTAAATCCTATTTTATAACCCTATATTATGTTATAGGTATACCTAGGTAATATATTACACGGCTTTATTATGACATAAGCTGGTAGGTACCAAAGATACAAATATATATATATATCATTTGCTCTTAAACTTATGGGACATAATTATATGTACATGATATAGACGCCAGAGATGTAAAAAATAAACATCTATATTTTTGTTTATTGAAAAAACGCATGATTTTCCTTTAAAAGCAATTATTGTTTTTGTAAAATTAACTGTTACTGTACGGCAGGGGTCGGCAAGTAATTTATATTGGAGATCTAAAGATTAAAATAATAAATCAATGTGGTGCAATGAAAAAATTTTTTTCGAATTTTTATATTTTAAAAATAGCAGTATAAAAATAATAATGCCGTTTTAAATGCCCACTTTGAATAATAGCGACAGTTGAATTGCAAATTAAACAGACTGGAATGGCTCCAACCCTTTCAGTCAATACAACAAAACAATATAGTTCTGTCCGCTCGTTCATACATTTCCTATTTTCGCTGTACATTTTGCGTGTCTTACTCAACATATTGAACGTATAACAAGAAGAAATAATATACATGTTGACAGGGTCCAGAGTTTTGCCTTCCGCGGTCCTCCAGTTGTCGACCCTGCTATACGGTATAGTTTACAGCGATTTTTTACAACTAACTCTGAGTACTAACAAAATATAATGGTATAACATGTAAACTCTGACTTTGGTGTTTGTGAATGGTATAGGTATACCAGTAGTATAGTTATAAATTTAATATTTAGAATGAAGCACTTAGCTAACAGTTAGCACATCTGTATCTGCGATTTTGGTTCATTTGTTTCTTTAAATATCTCATTTTGACGCTCATTTATTCCACACACTGAATATACTAATATACATTATCAACGTTTTAAGAATTTCTCACACAAATAATTTTTTTTTTTTCAATGCAATTCGATTTAAAAATTACTAAAAACCAAAAATAAGAATACTCATAACACATTAGGCAGTGAATGAAATCCATTTAAAATCGTTTTTCGAAGTGATGATTTATCACTTCTTCAAAAATACAATACTGGCTCGTGCAGTGTGAAACAAGACGTCGTTTTTTTTCCGTCCACAGTTTTTAGCAATATATTATTTGACTTCATGTATGTTTAAAACGTTCGGATGAGCTTTTCGGTAGGATGTACTAAGTTAAACAAGGGATATCAGGATGATTTATGGCGTTGCGAATGCACTTTAGTGGTTATATGTTTATGTAAGAAATTTTGAGGCTATTGTTTACGCTTTCAATGGTCACGTTTCTGGAACAGACATTATTAGTTTGGGGCAAATAGATTAGATTGATTATAGTGCAGTAGGTACCCAAGTTAATATAACGACCAAGTGTTAAACTAAATCTATTCAACAACATAAAATATTATTATAATATTACATATATTGTAATATTTCGAACAAAAATTCTCGAAATGATTTTTGATACATTTTTTTAGCACTAAATAATAATAATTTGAACACTCCAATTTAAAAGTATGTTTTACTCAATATTTATATTATTGCTATTAACAATTTATTGATTTTTATATTATGTGAACTAAATACAATTTTATAGTATTAACATTGGAAACACCTATAAAGAAAAAAAAACTATTCGTATTCATTTGTTTTGAAGTCCATAAATGTGTTTATTCGATGACAGAATATGTTTTCGACAAAATAACCTAATAAAAAAGTCTCGAACATTTTTAATTTATGTCAGACAATTATATCTTGTTATAATATTTATTTTATATTTTTGTACGGTTCTTTTTAAATTTATTATTTCCGATTATATATATATATATATATACATATTTTGAATTGTATTGATTACAATTATCTTGGTAATTTAATTTTCAAAAGTCAAACTATAGTTTATAGATAAACATTTACTTCGAATATCTACAGTAGGTTAATGCCTAGGTATATAATATTTAAAAACGTTGTATTGATTAACGACTATTATAGGTACTTATGCATCTGAAATATAATATAATATTGCACTCTGCCACTAAACATCTTATTGTTACTTGTGCATTTTCGGTATTAATTTAATTTTGATACAGACTTCAAAGTTTGTAGAATCTTTAATACGGTGAGGTATAATTATTAATTTCTGTACAATATATTGTTAGTTGTAACAAAGTGCAAGTATTATAAATTATGTGTAGTCGTTAAAGTACACATTATGTTGAAGTAAAACTACAACTAAGTACTAAGTCAAATGGATAACAGTATTAAAGATTGAAGATTATAAAAGTTATAATTATTTATTAATTTAGTTACTAAGAGATTACTGTAAAGTAGGTATCGAACAAGTATTTCAAAACATATTGATACACACCTACACGGCTACCTTATATACACTCAAACCGACAAAAATATAGGTAGATACCTACTAAATATATATATTTATTGTAATATAATTTTTTGTATAACTATTATAAATATACTCGTACATATCAAAACAAATGATATTAAGTAAGTATTAAATAGGTATAAAATATTGAATACAATAATTCATTAAAAAGACGATTGGAACTTTTTTAAGTATCGTTATATTACTGTATTGATATTTTAAAAGAATAAAGAAATTTAAATGATAAAAAAAAAATATGTATACTTATCGGGTATGTAAATACGTATTTTAGCGATAGTGTTGCCATCTTTAGTACAAAACTTCGACTACAGTAATGGACTTGGTTATTTTAAACTAAAGATGGCATTATTGTCGTAAAAATTCATATTAATTTTAAAAATGTTTATATTATATGTGTTTGAGTTGTTCTCAATAAGACACAACTGTATTGATAAATTGGAAAGTCTGTTTTCTTTATAAGCATTATATTATACTGGTTTTAATGTTCCACGTATAAACAAAATGTCTAATGAGTTTCATACAAAAATTATTGATTCTATCGGTGTTGTAAATTAAAATTAACTACACAAGATCATATAATTTCACTGTGTTGAAGATGTTAAGTGATAATCGATAGAGTTTTGAATTGGACGTTAACGAAACTTTGTGTGTGGTCAGAGTCTACATGTATTGTTATTTTTCAGGTTGATGGGGCAGCTGATTATTGTATTGTTTAAATGCAATTTATTTAATTACATTACATTTACTTATACACGATACTTAAATTGTATACAACTCGATAGTTCTGAGCTAAATTTGTGATTTATTCCATAGAATATAATAAATAGGTATATTATAAATATTACAAGATTGAGATATTAAGATGAAGTGTTTACTCCCTCAGACCTACTAGTGACATAGATAAAATACTTTCACATAAAATCATTGTTTATGATTTCTAAGTAAGCTTAGATTAAAATCAACTATTGCAAAAAATAAAGCGGATACCATTTTTTAATGTATGACATCGGTTTTAAATTTTATTATTAATTGACTCTACATTCGACTTTCAAAATAAAATAAAAAAATTTTAAATTTAAATGATTTTTTAATTGTTTTGAGATAATATTTAGACAAATCGAAACGGCATACCCTCATAAATATTATTCTTTATGGTTTTTTTAAGTAGTGGGTTTACTCAGATTACTCAAAAAACATAAACAAATGATTCTTAGCTTATGCTTTTTATCTATTTCGTGAATGGACTAGATAGAGAAAACAAACAGTGTACTGATATCCTTTAAGGTAATCATTTCCTGTACTTGGTAGGTCACCTATTTAGTGTAAATGCTATGTATAGAAGTGCATCTTAAATTTGAACAACGATTAAAAAGAATTATTGAAAAAGAATTATCAATGAAGTATAATTTTAGAAAATGTGGTGACCGTTGTAACGCATTATTAGTGTTCAAGTAGGTAGGAATATAAATATTATATACACGTATAATGTTGGATTACTTGTGTTTATGTGTTCTTTTAAAACGTCAAGAACATAGTATGATTGTTTTCATATGACTTTATACGAGATGTCTAAATATATTATATTAAATGACAAATATATTGTTGATAGTATAATATTATTATTTGCACACGAATGTCGAAATAAAAATAATATAATATAATCATACGCACAATCAAATATCAAACTCTATAAATGTTCTAATTTCTTAGATATTAATTTCTCGATGTTGTTTAATTTTAAACTAATTTATGGTTGTATCATTTTTTGACATTATTTTATTTAACAATAAAATGATACAAAACTTATAAGATATTTATATTATGTATAACTT